CTCACAGCGATCTGCCTGCCTCTGCCTCCCTAGTACTGGGATTAAAGGCGTGTGCCACCAACGCCCAGCCAGAATTCTGAAAGCTTTTTGATGCTAACACCATCACATTGGAGTTAAAAGTTATATTCTTATGGCTCTGTGCATGACAGAGGAGGCAAACGCTACTCTAAAAGCTTTTAACTCTTGCACTGAATTATCTCAAAGGCCCAGAAACTGTTCATCCAACTGTAGAGAACTAAGCATCACCCCAAACCCCTCTCGATGAATGTGGAGGGTTAACCCCAACATTTAGGAAGTTGCTGCAAGAAGATTGTCCTGAGTTTCAGTATCATCTCAAAAAAAAAAAAAAAACAATGTCCCTATTTAGAATTCCCTGATTTAGTCATAAGCAGGTTAAGAGGCTTATGTCTCCTTATACACAGAATATAGCATAGAAGAGACAAATGCATTCATTTAATTCAGAATAATCCACAGCTCAATGTGAAAGCCACTTTGGAAATAGAAGACACCCATTCAGCCCAGGCAAAGCTTCATGAAGTTCCTGAATTCTTCACACAGAGGACAAATCTGAGCTTTTGACTTTACAGACAACATTGTCAACCAAATATTTTTGAATGTCACACGTTAAACTCCTTGAGATTTTTCTGAAGACACTGGATGGGTGCTTCCTCAATTCAGAGAGTTAAGTTAGTGCCCTCCTGTGAAAGGGACAAACAAGTCTTTTCTAACTGCAGCTCAAGAAAACAAACCCTAAAAAGCAATGCAGCTGGGCCGTGGTGGCGCATGCCTTTAATCCCAGCATTCAAGAGGCAGAGGCAGGCAGATCTCTGTGAGTTCCAGACCAGCCTGGTCTACACAAGCTAGTTCGAGAACAGCCTCCAAAACCACAGAGAAACTCTGTCTGGAAAAACAAACAAACAAACAAACAAAAAAAAAAGAAAAAAAGAAATGCAAACAGACAGAGGAATAGCACCATTAGATTGTAACAGCCCTTTCAAGTGATTGTAGGTGAGTAGCAACCCTGCTTCCTTTGAACAGTTAACCAAGTGTTTGGATGGGTCCAACTCACATCACCTCTACCTATGGGAATAGTTTGAAAACTACCACATGTGCAGTGAACAGCCCTTGGTCTCTGATCTGCAAAGGGAACAAGGCATCACAGTCCTCAGGTAACCAGAGAGGCTGCTGTCCTGTCATACCCTAGTCCTTAAAACTTTAATGGCAATTCATCTCTTTAATTCTTTCACTGCACCTGAATATTTCATGTGTAGCACATATCAGTCCCTTTCGGAGAACTGTATGTTGAAGCCAGGGGATAGGAAATGGCTGTTTTAAAAAGTCCCAAGTCTTGGCCATCATATAAAATGTACTGGGTCTCATCAGGTGATACAAGGCAACCTGCAAGATGGAAGGAGCGGGGTCTAATTGCTTGTCAGATTGTGGAAGAAAATGCTGCTAACTTTATTTTCAGTGAGAAATGCTCTCATCTGCAGTGACTCTCGGTTTCTTTATAGAACACATACGCCAAGACCTGGACGTCGAAGGAGTTGTTGTTTGCGGCGTCAAGCAAGAATTGTAAAAACTGTTTATCAAGACACTTTCTCATTTAAAATCGTTTCTTCCCTGAATCTCAGAATGCAGCCTGGAACCTTAACTATCCCCCAAGTTCAAAACGACATAGACTTGAGGCTATGGGGCAAATTACCCTCCTCTTCTCTGACCCTGCAAGTCATCTTCCCTGAGAAGAAGAAGTGATTGAGAAGCAAATGATCATGGCATTCCTGGGGACCAGTCTCCTAATGTATCCATACAATCCCCACTGGGAAATAGAGCTAGCCTCAGGCCGATGCTTTGCAGCCAGGGTGGGATCAAGGAGATAGGCTGCAAAGCATCGGCCTGCGTGGGTATAGAGGGTATAGCGGTTATAGCGCTTGCTCTGGAGCCCTCATGCCCAGCCTGCTCCTACGGGGAATGTGACCCCTGGAAAAGGTGGACTGGCAGGATGGCTCAGGATGCAGGGACCTTCTTGCTGGCAATGGGATGCCTTTCCATTCCTTTTCCTCCTCTTTTTGTTAAATCCCAGGCATCCAGCCTTGAGAGAAATGGGCAGAACAAGCTCTGTTTGATTAGTGTGTGCCCCTGCAGCGAAAGGGGCAGAGACAGGCCCTGGGGAAGAAGAAACGGCTGCACAGAGATCACGTGGAGGTCCCGGCGGTCTTTTAAAGAAAATGAGAATTCTCTGGAAATATTGAAGACATGCACGCCGGAAAGAAATGCGATTTGACAAAACGATGTTAGGAAATGCCCACCGTAGATTTGAATGTGGCCAAGAACACAGAATACAAGGAAACAAACCCATCATACTCTTCCCTGCAGCTGGGGGGAGACGTAGCTCAGAAAATCCATTTATCTCCTATAAGTTTTGGGGTTCTATCTCTGTACAGTAGCCCCATGATGCAATAGGTGAGGAGGCTCAGGTAACTTGCTTAGCATTCCTCTCTGTGCTTGGTTGAATCTTTAGTTTCCAACCCATGGGGGCGGGGCAAGTTAACAACAAGAAGAAACAAGTTCTGAGCAGACTGAGGCCCAGCGTATACTCCAGAGATGTTCCTTGAAGGTGCAAGCGCCAGGCCGAGAAGGGGGAGGCCAGGACAGCTTTCCCTGGATGGGGTCTAACACAGACTGGAACCATACTTCTGTAGAGAACTTTTCATCTTTACATGGGGGGGGGAGAAGGGGGACGCTGCTGGAAGGAGGGGGCAGGGGAGGAGCTCAGCAGCAGGCAGCTGGTCTGGTCTGAATCAGTCCACCGTAGAGGTTTGAAGAAGAAATGTGTGTGTGTGTGGGGGGGGTGTGGGTGTCTGTGCTTTTATGGATGAGTGTGTGTGCGCGCGCTTGTGCACGTGTGTATATATATGTGCTTTCATGAGGCTGTGTGTGTGTGTGTGTGTGTGTGTGTGTGTGTGTACACGCGCTTGCTTGCTTATGTGCCTGTGTGTGATGTGCTGAGCTGGAATCTTAGGTCCTAGGCTTCAGGAAAAGTTCATACCTTCATGGTAATCACTCTGACCAGAGACCAGTTAAACAGACAGTGGACAGGAGGGCAAATGGAGAAGAGGGAAGAGTATGGGAAACCCAGGAGGGAGGAAACGGGAAAGGGGTTTGTGAGGAAGGAAGGCGGAGGGAAGAAGAACCTTCAGAGGTGGAAGAGGAAGAGAGAGTGACGTGCAGCCTCGGGGAGAAGTAGAGGAAAGGAGGGAGGATATAGGGTCAAGGCTCTGAGCAGAAAGCAGAAAGCAGAAAGCAAGAGAACCGGCAAGCCAGAGAAGCCCACGTTTTTAATAAGGCCAGCTCTGGAAACCAGGGGACTGCCATGCAGAAACCGACAGGAAGAAATCCCTTAGGGAAAAGAAGCAGAGGCCACTGGGACCAAGCGTCCCCAAGCAGGTTTGTTCAGAATGAGCTGGATTAGCTCTCACTTGCCCCTAGAGAGGTCAGACATCGCTTCCCATCGCGGCCTAGCCTCGAACCCCCCACTCACCCCAAACCCCAGTCACTGACTCCGCAGTCTTACCTGGCCCTTGACCAGGCTGGCAGCGAACTGGCGCATGACGGCCTCCACGGTGTAGGCGCTGGACCAGCCGCGCGGCGTGAGCAGCTCCATGCAGATGGCGCCGCCGTCCAGCACGTAGCCGTTCTCCAGCCGCGGGCTAAGCACCCGCATGAAGGGCGGCGAGAAGGGGAAGTTATCGGGGAAGGTGAGGTTGAGCAGGATGAACTCCGTGTTGGTCTCCTTCATGTCCTGCCACAGCACCGAGTCCTTGTCCACCTGGTGCAGCTTCACGTTCCAATCGAAGAGGCTCTCGTTCACCAGCTCCACCGAGATGAAGCGGTCACTGAGGCGCGCGATGTCCTGTAGCTCCTTCATGAGCCGCCGGCTGCGCACCTGTGTGCAGTGCTGCTGGCGCGCCGCGGGCACCAGGCTGCCGCCTGTCGCTGCCGCGGCCACCGCGGGGCCCGGCCCCGCCCTGGCGCCCGCCGCCCGCTCCCGGGGCCCCCCGGCGCCTGCCGCCCCCGCCGCCCCCGCGGCCGGCTGCGGCTGCTTGTCGCGAGCGGCCAGCTCCGCGGCGCGCTTGCTCTTGCCCTTGCCGGGGCCGGGGCTGGCGTCGCCCGCGCCCCCGGGGTGCTGCTGCTGCTGCTGCTGCTGTTGCTGCTGCTGCTTGTGGCTGCCGCTCTTGCCGCCGCCTTTGCCGCGCAGCGACGCGCTCTGCTGGCCGCCGCCTCCGCCGCGGTGGTTGTGGTGGTGTTTGGGGTCCTCCGTGTCCCGGTTGTGCAGGCGAATGAGCCCGATTTTGCGGAGCAGCGTGGCCATCTTAGGCTCGGTTCTGGCCGGGGGCTCGCCGGGACTCCTGGTCCAGGAGGCAGATAGCTGGGACACGCGGGGCTTGGGGCGGCGGCAGGCGACCGCTCAGCGGGGCGCGGCGAGGGCCACCTCAGGAGCCGGCGGCCGTGGCGCAGCGGAGCTGGTAGCACCGGCGCTCGCTGGCCGCTGTGTCGCCTCTGTCATATGACGGGTCTGCTCCGGCGAGGGCTCCGGCCGCCCGGGGAGGGGGAGGCGTGGAGACGCGGAGCCGTTACTGTCCCTGGCCGGTCCCAGGGCTCAGTCCCCGGACGCCCGGTGTCCGTGGTCCTTTGTGCGCGGCCACAGACCGGCTGGCCGGGAGTCTGAGAGCAGCACCAAGGCGCGCAGAGCCGCCCGCAGCTCCCGGAGGCTGCGAGGTGGCCTCGGAGTCGCACTATGCGCCTGCCGGGCCGTGCGGCGCTGGCGGCTACCGCGGGGCCCGGGCCACTGCCGCTCTCGTCGCCGCCGCCGCTGCGGCTGCTGACATTGCAGAGGCGGCTGCTCCGTCTGAGCCCAGCGCGGCGCGGAGGGGGCGGCACTGCCGGTCGGGAGGGGGGGGGGGCGCGGGGCGGAGCCGCGGGCTTGACTGAGCCGTGCCACCCCCGCCGCCGGGTTCCTGCGGTGACACACGCGCGGCCGCTGGGGGGGGAGACAGCAGTGCGTGCCCGCACCGTTTGCTCTGGGCTGCGTGAGAGCTGCCTGAGCCGGGGAGCCAGAGATGGGTTGGCCTGAGCAAGCCAAGAGGGTCTCAGAACCACTGCGTTCTTCTGTCCCTAATTCTGGATGCCGTGTCGGGGTCTCGGTCTCATATCCCATTTAACCTCCTTAGGACAACGTAGAGTGGAAGGGTGGAAATCTACCTCTTTATTAATCCTTCCAATCAGATGGACGAACCCTATGTTTCTACGCAACAGTTCTGGGAGGGTGGGAGCGAAGGAAGGCAGGAGGGACACTTTCTTAAGGACAGATGAAAGAATCCGATCCGAGAGCGGGATGAGAGGCCACGCCAGCCGCAAACCTAAAGCACAGCCTCCAAGTCACGACTTGAGTAAAAGCAAACCTTTAGCCAAACCACCTAGACCTCACTGGGCCTCTCCCCTCCTGCCTGCTGGCATCAGAGTCTCTGGCTTTCCGTGGCCAGCCTGTGAGCAGTGGCGGCTTTCCAAAATGCTACGGAGAAGCACATCAAATGTCTTCTCTGCCGCTGACCGGAGCCTAGGGTGAGAAGGGACCTTCTGAACAGGACCTCCCTCGCCCCCAGCGCCGTCCGCGAGGGACTTCCCCAGTGCTCGCATAAGGGAGGTATCCGCCTTCCACCTGCAGATTCCCAGCCCTCCCTGCGTGGAAACTCACACTTAAAATCTGGTGAAAATTCCAACTAAAAGGTATGTATGTCAGATTAGTTCAAACCGTGAAGCGTCCGGTGTGTTGGGTGTGTAGCCCAAATGCGAAGGCGAAACCAATCCTTCAAGTACAGAGAATATCCCAATCCCACCCTAACTGGCGTGGGGTTTGTGGATGCCGAGGAGCGGGAGCCGCTCGCTCGGTTCTTGTTCCTTCTGGATGCCAGCATGTTGCCTTTCTGCTTCCAACATCTTTTACCAGCTTTTGAATTTTCAGCGTGGAAAATAACTGGTGAGGTCACTGTGAAGGCATAGAGCGGAAGGGTTTTGGAATTCGGAATTGGGGATAGATATGTAACGGGAGAGCCAGCCTAACTGGCATAGAGGAGCAGAAGGTTCATGGACACCTGGTATTGCCTTAGGAGAGGGGGTTCCCCAGAGGCCCTGGCAGTCCTTTGGCTTTCAGCAGGAACCACACAGTGTTTTGGACTAAGAACAACTCAGTCTATTGGTTAAATCAGAGCAAAGCTGACCCAAGGTCTCTTTGTCCTAATCTCCTGATTGCTTTGTTTATGAGTTCATTCTATACCATTCTCTTATTTTTATCATTTTGCATCACCACCACCCCTGTCATTGTCCTTGTCCTCATCCTCATCCTCATCCTCATCATCACTAAGGAAGAGCAAGAGGGTAGAAATATCTGCCTGCAGCTTCCTGAGAGCGACTTCCCTTAAGCATGCACGCTGCATAAAATGATGAAAAGCTGGAGGGAAAGAGACTGGCCAGGGGCGTCAGTATCGACTGCTTTTCTCATTGTTCTGACAAAACAATGGCAAAAGCAACTTAAGGAAGGTGTGCTGGCTAGTTTTATGTCAACTTGACACGTACTAGAGTATTCCCCAAGGGGGAGCCTCAACTCAGAAAAAATGTCTCTGTAAGATATGGCTCCAGGCAAGTCCTAGGGCATTTTCTTAGTGATTGATGAGGGAGGACGGATGCAGCTCACTGTGGGTGGGGGTCATCTCTGGGGTGACAGTCCCGGGTTCTGTAAGAAAGCAGATTGAGCAAGCCATGAGGAGCAAGCCAGTAAGCAGCACCCTTCCATGGCCTCTGCATCAGCTCCTGCCTCCAGGTTCCTGCCCTGCATGAGTCCCTGTCCTCACTGCTTTTTGATGATGAACTGTTAAACGGAAATGCAAATGAAATAAACCCTTTCTTTCCTAACTTGCTTTTGATCATGGTGTTTCATCGCAGTAATAGTAATCCTAACTAAGAAGAAAAAAATTGTTTTAGCCCACAGTTTTCAGGCACAGTCAATCATGGTGAGGAAGGCATGGGGGTGGGAGCCAGAGGCAGGTTGGTCACATTGTATCTACAGCCAGGGAGCAGAGTCAAATTCATCTTGCTTTCTGCCATCCTCCATAGTTACTAAGTCAGGGACCCAGGTTCACCGCACAATGCCAGCCACATTCAGGATAGCTCCTCCTCGCTCAGGGAAACTTTTCTGGAAATGCCCTTATCGACATGCCCAGAACTATTATTCCATGGTGATTGTAAATCACACCAAGTTGATAATCAATATTAATTATCACAGTCTGTGCCTTATGTAATTGTGCCCGCAGAAGCCCTCCCAAGTTTTCTGAGACACATTTTATTGACAAAGAAACTGAGTTCTAAAGAGACCCAGCTGCTGGCTCCACACTGCCATATACTAAGAGGGATGGTCTATGCTGGGACGCGTGTCATGGTGACCCTATACTACTCCAGGTCCAAGCCCCCAGGCTTGCTGTTGACCAACTGGCCTGAGACTGATTTGCTGTGCCTTACACCCAGCAGAGGAGATGAGCTGAATGCAATTGCCATGGTCTCTAAACCAGAGAACTTGGGCAGAGATGCGTCCATCCCCCTGGAACAGGATTGCCATTGGAAATCCCAGACAGCAACTGATTTGCACCTGCTTCTGAGAGCACTTATTCTCTATGGTAGTTGTTTGATGTGGATATGGTGTATCCCCCCAAGGGTTCACGTGTTGTAATCCTTAAACTAGGAGAGATGGGCTTAGTGGGACATTATTATTGTTCTTTGGCTTCATCTGTAAATACTCCCACTGGAAGGCCATCCACCATGATATGACACAGGCAGTTAGGGCCCTTGAAAGAACTTGTGCCATGCTGTTTTGATTTTGAACTTGCTGAAATGATGTGCCAAAACAACTTCTTTTCTTTGCAAGTGACCCAGGAGTTTCATTGTAGCAACAGAGGCAGAGTGATACAGCATTTACGTAATGAATGTGTCTGTTGTAGACACGGTCAGAGAGTGAAATGATCAGGATTGATGCTGATTCTGGACAAGAGGTTTAATCAAGACTGGCTGGCACCAGGGTTAAGTGTGTCACCCGCATAACCTACAGAATCCAGGACCACCAACTCTATAAAAGTCTAAAGCCAGGGCTGGGGAGATGGCTCAGTAGTTAAGAGCACATACTGCTCTTCCAGAGGACCTGAGTTTGATTCCCAGCAACCACATGGTGGCTCATAAACATCTGTAACTCCAACTCCAGAGTTTCTGATGCCCTCTTCTGGCCTCCACAAGTGCGCATGCATGCACACACATAATTAAAAATAAAATAAAATCTTTAAATCAAAATCTAAAGCCAAATTTTATTTAAATGTTAGTTAAAAATAAAAAAATAACCCATATTTGTAAGTGTAGATGTTTAAGAGAGTCACACACATTCCAACTGGGGACTCACCATGTAGTAGTGTCATAATAGTTACACAGATTATGTAGGGGTTGGGAGTATTTATAGTTCATATAAAACCTTTAAGTGAGCTGGCAGAGTGAAGGGTGATGTCTATAGTGTTGCACAGTAGCTACAATGACACACTTGATACACTGAGAAGAAAGGACCAGAGAGGGCATTGTGAATGGTAGTTACTGTGTTAGAGCAGGTAGATGCTGCTGCCTGTCTTTGTTCTCTCCAGCCAATGGATGTAAGCTGCAGGATGCTGGCCATGGTAGGCAAGCTTCAAGGGGGCGGGACTATGGGGCTGCTCACTGCCTCACTTTGAATCTGGTAGATTCCAGAAAGTTATACCTTACAGGAAGAATGAAGACATCAATTCCATCCAAATATGTGTTGAGACACATTTCATTACAATCGCTCCCCATTTGCTTGATTCTCAACCATTGGGAAAGGTTATTCTAAACTCACAGTGAAGATGAATGGACGTTAAAAACATCCTATTAATGATTAAGTTTACAACTTTAGAATAGCTGGCTGGAATGCATCTCGTTGAACATGGTAACATCAAAGGAGAATTATGGGTCTCATCATGACAGCTAGAGGAAGGGGCGGCGAGGGAATCCACAGTCAGAGCACAGGACAACTGATAGTGAAATCATGAATGGGAGGGAACCAAGATGGTCACCACATAGGCAGAGCACTGAGAATGAGCCGCACCTGCCGATGGCTTCCCCCATGAGCCTTCAATCAACGGTCCTAGATGTCAACTCTCTAGGTGAAGTTTTTACAAAGACAGAACAGGGTTTGTGAATTTATTTTTTGCCTTGTACAGGGATGGCCTCCAAGAGCTAGATATAGTGGTACATGTCTATGATCTTAGTACTTGAGAGGCTGAGGCAGGGGGATGGTGAGTTCCTAGTCAGCCTGAACTACAAACCAAGACAATTTCAGTGAGTGAGCAGACAAATAAATAATAAAAATGACTGCCCCCCCCAGTGTTTTGGGTTATTTCCTTTACGAACTCCAATCTCAAGATCAGTAAGACATGAAAAGTAATTGTGTCAAGAAATACCTGCCCTAAATTCGCACGTGCTGTTTGTCCTCATGGACACATATTAAGGTCACTGTGGACGTTGACATGAATGCTTCTTTTTATGCATCTGTGCTATTACATGGTCACAGGACCAATTCACCATCTCATCAGCCAAGTTTGCGTTTAGTTGGCATGAACTACACCGTAAGCACCACCCCACGTACTTTGTGAACAGCCCCTGCTTAGTTCCCACAGCAACGATACTGTGTAGGCACTGTGCCCACCCCAGTTTTAAAGGCAGGTGAACTAAAAGCAAAGAGGTCGAGCTGTCCCAGGGGGAAGCCAGGATTTAACTCCCCAGCTTTGGCTCTGGGTGGTGCTTGTACCCGCATCTCCATGAGCCCCTGCATGCCATCACTGTGGGGCTGATGGGAGGAAAGCTCTGCTTTCCCAGAACGAGCTCTCCGCAGAGGGAATCTCTGTCATTTTCTAGCTACATCAAAGACCCTGGAAACCCCAGGGAATGTGACATAATCACTCTGCATTTGCTCAAAACAGGGTGGACACATACTCACTTTTGCTGGTATTCTTGAATTGAAAGACCAGCCCTTCACTTCCCAGCACAGATGTCAGAGATCAGAAAAGTCCATGTCCTGCCTGGAATACATACAGGTCATGGGAGGGAGAGCTGACTCCCCAAGACCTGAAAGTTTCTCCGAATCTGGGTTGTGGCATCACCTTCTGCACTATGTTTTGGGACCATTTACTATGAAACAGCGGGTAAATTATACGGTGTCTGTATAGATATAACCACTCCTTCCCAAAGCTAGGCACTCGCTTGCCCAGATCACTTTGCAGATGGGCACAGACATGTGATCTGGTTTGGGCCAATCTGATTCCTACAGTGAAGCTTCAGGGTGAAGAGACAAGTCCAAAAGGTGTGATTGTGGAGGGTCACCTGCTTCTGGAGGTATTAGCATTGAGAGTCCTCACAGGGCTTTGAAACTCAGGGATGATGGTTCTGGCATCGTCCCAAGATCAGCCTGGGTTACATTGTAGGCTTCATAGTTTACAGTTAGATATTTATGACCCTATTGTAGATTTTTTTGCAGGGGGATACAGTGTCTTACTGTGCAGCTCCTGGCTGGCCTGGCACTCAGAGACCTGCCTGCTTCTGGCTCCTAAGTGCTGGGATTAAAGGTATGTGCCACCACACCCAGCTGGATTATACTTTCTTAAGGTGGTTTCTGTGTGTTCCTTTCTGATCGCAATGGGCTGAGATGACCCCCATTGCTTATGACCAAGGGCTGATTTTACGCCTCCTGCGTGCATTAGATTGTCCCTGCTCAGAATAGTGTTGGCACACAGTGCTCATTCACACCTGCCTGGTGCTATGTGCCGCTCATTCTCCCCTAATCCGTGGGCTCTCATGGCCTTTCCCCTCTCAAAGCCTCCGTCTCTGTGATCACGTGTTTGCTGCTTTCCACCCAAGCCTAACTCGGGAAGGGGACTATTTATCACCTCACCAGTTTGGACCAGTTAGGGGAAGTTGCAACAGAAGACTGAGAGGGAGGCTTTCAGGAGAGTGCATTCTGGGAGAATCACTAGCAGGACTTGGACTTAAGTAACTACGCAGAATCTAGAAGAAAATTTGGTTAACACAAGTAATATGGATTTTAGATAACACACAACTCCCTAGCAGAATTCATACTTTTCAATAACCTGTCTCATGTTCAGTAGAGCATGCCAGGATGCTTTAACTAGAGTCAATGGAAAAAGTTTGTTTCTCTCCCATGTAATAAGAAAGGGTAGTTAACACTTTTTCCGTAGCAACTCCAGTCACTGGCCATTTATACAGCACCTGTGGTGGACCCCACTTCCTTCCAGCTACAGAGTGGCCTGGGGAAGGACAGCGTATGTCCAGATAAGTTCTCACTAGAAATAAGCGGGGGCCAATGAGCATAGGGTGGACTTAAATGTTTTTTTTTTGTTTTTTGTTTTTAGTTTTTGAGATTACATCATTTCCCCCTCCCCTTTCCTACCTACAAACCCTTCCATATAGTTCTCCCTACTCTGTCTCAAATTCATGGCCTCTTTTTTATTGATTGCTGTTACACACATATATCTATATGCGTATGTATTATTAAATGCATAAATATAACCTTCTCAATCTGTATAATGTTACTTGGACGTATGTTTTCAGGGTTGAGCATTTTGGTGTTGGATAACTACTTGGTGTGTTCTTCCCTTTTTCCAGGGAGAAAAAAACCTAAAGCATAGGTTTCCAACCACACACAACTGTTCTCTTTGTTAGCCTTTCCTCTCACCTATGGTAGAACAGTTCTCCCTACTGCCCTTGGTTGGGACACAGGTTCCTGCAAGGATTGATTGACACTGCCCTGTGATTTCTTGAGGATGTAATCTTCCTCTACTTGAGGCACACACAGCATTGGTGCCCTGGTGTTTTGGTGGATACTGGTTTGACAATAGAGAACAGGTAAACCCTTCTCAAGGGTAGAGTCAGCACTGGATGCTGTATTTCTCTTACTGGGCCATCTTTGCCTATGTACATCAGATAGAGAGGGTACTGGTAGGCCAAAGAAAGAATTCTCTCTAAGTCTAGCTTGGTGAGACAGTAAGTTTAATTGTTACTTCTGGGAGCATGGGTGAACTGAGTTGGAATGTCACCAAAAACCCCATTCCTGCTGGGGTGGTCACTCATGAACGCTGCACCATTGGAATCTCTGTGAAACTCACAGGTGGCACCCACCCAGGAGCCTTCTCTTCCACAGGTGCTCACTACTGTCACTTTAGGACAGCGTGGTGAGTCTTGTGAGCTTTGTGAGTCACCTCCCTCTCTCCAGGAGGGCATGCTGCAGTCCAGAGGAAATAGATACACAGCCCTGCATCTTCAGACAGGAGACTCTTCCTGCCAGGTCAGAAGGGAAGGACTTGTGTGTTAATGGTGGCCAGGAGTGTGAGGATGTTGGTTCTCAAAGTCCAAGCCATCCCAGTTGTCTGAAGATGGAGGTTTCTGTTCTGTCAGGTCCCACAGCCGATTTGCCCCAAATAAACACACAGATGGTATATTAATTATAAAATTGTTGGCCAATGGCTAGGGCTTCTTACTGGCTAGCTAGAAATTATTAACCAATTTCTGTTAATCTAAGTATTTCCACATGGTCTTTTCTTACTGGAGTAGGGTCAGACCTGTTACTCCTTCCTCAGCTGCATGGTGTCTCTTGGCAGTGCCTCTCTGACTTCCTACCCGCAGGCTTCTCCTGGTCTGGTAGCTCCACCTCTCCTTCCTGCCTGGCTACCCACAAATCAGTGTTTTATTCATCAACCAATAAGAGAAACATAGATACAGAAGGACATCCCCTATCAGGTATTTTCCTTATTCCCAGGCTACAATCTAACTCTTTGATGACAGGCGTGGCAAGATTGAGACTTTAAAGTACTTTATAGAGTCTGAAACCTCAAGACTCAGATCCTTGAGGCTGGTTTTCAACAAGGTCAAGACTATAGTTCTTTGAGTTATGTTCATTTCTTAGGGACATTCCAGGATATCCCTCTGTGCTTATTCTCTTCTCCCTGCCTCTTACTCTCTCTGTCTCTCTGTCTGTCTGTCTCCTATATAAACAGTTGCAAATCCTCTCACTGTTTCACAAGTAGTGCAACCTCCTCTTTCTCGTAGTTGGTATCACTCTTTCCACAGCACTCAAGGACAGAGTTTTTCTTTTGTTCAAGCCTTTACCTGGGGCCACCACAGTCTGTTTTTTTTGTGGGGTTTTTGAGGCAGCTGCTTTTCTCTAACTACTGCCCTTTCTGAGTGGCACTGACACAGTGACCAGGATCAGGTTCAAAGTTGATTAGTCTGTGTTTGGATACATTCCTTACAGGAAGCCCTGAGTTGGTTACACTGTGTATTCCAATAGAAGAGTTTAACCCAGATAATTGGACATAAAATGCTGGGGTGTTCAAGGACCTAAGAAAGAATGAACATGTTGAAGAAGCAGGTAGAAGGGGCTGCAATCCTGAGAAATTTGCTGACACGCTTTCATGGTGCAAGCTCACACCTAGGTCATGACCATGGAGTTGCCCTGGAGCACCGCATGGTTGATGGGTTCCTTTCATGGTCACTGTGGCATCTGTTAGGAGCATCACAGCTCCACTGTTCATTTGTGACCTTGGGATGTCTATTGGTCAGGTTCTCGCATAGGTGGGTCTGTAGGCTCGGGAGGACCCAGTACCTATGTGGCTCCCTCAGCTGTTTGTTGTGGGCTGAGCTTAGTTTTTGAGCAGGGAAGAAGGATCTGAGAAGATTTTGCCATTATGGGATGCAGGTTCTCTGTGCCAGTTGAGTGATGAGTCATACATTCTTTTCTGAGGAAGAAATGGCTTAATCCTAAAGAGACTTCCAGAAGAGTAGTCTCATTCCTCCTGCCCTTTTCATCTTTGCTTCAGGCAAAGACAGTTGCTCTCCGGTTGTGTGGAAGTGCGAGATGACAGCTGACATTGTGTCAAGATAGTGTCTCTATTCCATGTCACCTTCAATGCTAGGTCTAAATATAGGTTCTAGCATAGTATTCTGAGAAAAGAAAGTTGATTCGACTTCCCAGTAGCTGAGGGTGGTGGGTAAAATCCCCTAATTAGTTGAAACAAGGAATGTGTATCCCAGTTATATTACATACTCTCAGAGCATTGGGATGGAATAGATGCTTTTGGTGTTTATTTTGCTGTCATTACGTCTGCTGCTACAGTGTCAGTTTTGAAAAATACAATAGAGAATAAACTCTCTGACTCTGGTAGCAGTTTGGTACTAGAATCTGATTTTAAAATTGTCTAAAATAAGAGCATTCATTTGCCTGCACTGGAAGGCACAGAGTTTAACTGCATAACTCTGGGTTTTCAAAAATATGCACATATGTAATTTAGGAAATACCTCAATCAAGACATGAAGGATTTCCATCATCATTCTAGAAAGTTCTCCCATACAATATTCTAGTCAAGCCCATACTACCCCACCACCATAAGCAACCTGCTTTGGTTCCTATCACCATAAGTTTGTTTTACATTCTCTCTCTCTCTCTCTCTCTCTCTCTCTCTCTCTCTCTCTCTCTCTCTCTCTCTCCTCATCTATCTGTGCAAGTGACATGTGAATAGAATAACACAAAATGAGCTCTCACAATTCTAGCATCTATCAATCAATCTATAGTCTCAAGCTGAAGCTGGCTTCTCTTGTGTGTGGGATAGTCTGGTTTTTATGGCTGGAAAGGTTCCTTGGGTGCAGACACCAGAGAATGTTCTCCCATCTTGCTGTTGGAGGATGTTTGGCTTGCTTCTGGCTTCGGCTACTGTACATATGGCTCCTGAAATGATCCTGTTTTACTTTTCTTTATAGCTGGCAAAGCATGACCTAGCTGTGTCAAGGGGTAGTTATATATTTAACTTCATGGCAAAATTCCAGACACTCCTGAAGTGACTGTAGCATTTTACATTCCCATTAACATTAACTGCTAGAGAACATGAGAGAAGCTCACCTGTGAGCATGGGTCTCAGAGGAATCTCTGGAAGACTACAGCAGAAACAATAGATATTCCAGAGTGTTGGCAGCAGGAGCTCTCTGTTTGAATAAGAATAGTTCCCATGGGCTCATATGCTTGAATACTTAGTCCACAATTGGTGGGACTCCTTGGGGGAGGATTAGGAGGTGTGGTTTTGCTAGAGGAGGTGTGTCAGTGGAGGTGGGCTTTTGACATTTTAAAAGACCCTCTTATCATTGCCAGGCTACTCCCTGCCTTCAGGTCGGGGTTTGAAATGAGAGTTCTCCACTACTCCTGCCACCTGGCTTTTGCTTCACTACTGTGGATGCTAATCTTCTGGACCTGTGAACCCAGTTTCCTCGGTCACTGTGTATATTATCACTGCAAGAGAAAAGTAAGTAAGACAGATGATGATGTAAGTAGAGTAAAAACCAAACAAAAACAGGCTAAGAGGCTTCCTGTCAGGAATTCACATCCAGGAGAAAACATGGGTGCAGCTGCATGCCTCAGGATGAACTGGAAATTGGCCACCCACAGGAAAAAAATACCACTTTACTCCTTGTGGAAATGGTCCAGTTCTCAATCAGAACTGCCCCCCCCAAGTCAGTAAGTGAGCCCCCCCTAACAGTTAGCATCTCAGAAATCAAAACAGCACCAAACAGTTGAGAAAGAGGAACCACAACCCAAGGCCTGAAGAACAGTGCTAAACAGGAAGGTGGGAGGAAGATATGGAGAGAGAGGGCAGGAAAGGAGGGAGGGATGGAGAGAGAGAGAGAGAGAGAGAGAGAGAGAGAGAGAGAGAGAGAGAGAGAGAGAGAGAGAGAGAGAGAGGAGACTGGGAGAGTGAAGAAAAGGAAAGAATAGAGGGAGAGAGAATTTTTAAATACAATTTTATTTAAGTTAAAAATAATCGCATTTTACATACAAATCCCAGTTCCCTCTCCCTCCCATCCTCCCATGCCTCCCCATCCACTCCCCAGGGAGGGTGAGGTCTTCCATGGAAGATCATCAAAGTCTGTCACATCATTTGGGGCAGGACCTAGGCCCTCCCCCTTATATTTAGACTAAGAGAGTATCCCTCCATAGGGAATAATCTCCAAAAGCACATTTGTGCACTAAGGATAAATACTGGTTCCACTGCCAGAGGCCCCATACACTGCCCAGGCCCCCCAACTATCACTCAAGTTCAGGGTGCTTGGTTCTGACCTATCCTGGTTCCCCAGCTGTCAGACTGGGATCCATGAGCTTCCACTTGCTCAGGTTACCTATTTCTGTGGGTTTTCCCAGCATGGTCTTGACCCCTTTGCTCATCTCTCCGCAGAGGGAGAGAGAATTTTAGTATGTGGGAGGAATATCTTTCCATTCCTGACTGAGGGGCTTTGGCAGCTCAAGTTTTCTGGGAGAGGCAATCAGTTTTCTCTGTGGCTGTGACCCCTGATAGGCTGCCCATGCTTCTGTGGATGACCTAACATCCATGCATACCGTGACAGCACTGATTGGGATCACTGGGTCATGGAAAGAGAACATGGAATTGGGAGAAGGATGTGGCAGGAGGAGCTTGAAGGCAACTGGGAAATGTGTATGCTTAAAATACATTGTATACAGTATGAAACATTGTATGAAGTATGAAACACTGTATGCAGTATGAAACCTTGTATGCAGTATGAAACATTGTATGCAGTATGAAACCTTTTACAGTATGAAACATTGTATGCAGTATGAAACTTTGTATGCAGTATGAAACCTTGTATACAGTATGAAACATTGTATGCAGTATGAAACACTGTATGCAGTATGAAACCTTGTATGCAGTATGAAACATTGTATGCAGTATGAAACCTTTTACAGTATGAAACATTGTATGCAGTATGAAACTTTGTATGCAGTATGAAACCTTGTATACAGTATGAAACATTGTATGCAGTATGAAACCTTTTACAGTATGAAACATTGTATGCAGTATGAAACTTTGTATGCAGTATGAAACATTGTATGCAGTATGAAACACTGTATGCAGTATGAAACATTGTACAGTATGAAACATTATATACAGTATGAAACATTATATACAGTATGAAACTTTCAAACAAGGAACTAGAACCAGAGGTGTGAGAGAAGATTCCGTCTGCTGTGATATTTGCAGGAGCTGCTTTGTTGAGCTGTTGAATCCATTTTGGATGAAATTAACTAATTCAAGAACAAATACTCCAGTGGAAAGCCTGTGTCCTGGTCACACCCCAGCCTGTGGAACTCTCTTCAGACATTTCATCCCTGGAGCTTTCCATGAACAGTTCAGGCCACCAGACAGGCAGGTCAGCAACCTTCACCAAACCCTCACCTGACTGGCTTCTTGGACTATAAATGGACAGCATTGTGTATGCAACCTTCCTCGTGGCTCTCAGTGTGTCTCGACTCAGGAAGTCAGCTCAGGGGAATTCCCTCACTGATATGGGGGACATAACCCCACAGTCAGTTGTGTGGAGAAATCACCATTGAAAATGCCCTGTGAGGAAGAATAGGCAATAACTGCTATTTGCCAGCAGAGACCTCAAAGGTGCCATATCTTCCTTCAGTGTTTATGCTTCCCCAGAACTCCTAACACAGGACTGAGGGGAGGGTTTTAGGTGTCTGAGGGATGAGAACCTCGCCTCTTGGATGAACACACTGGCAGAGAGGAGAGCCCAGGACAGAATCCTTCCAAATGTACACGAACAGGCTGGAGAAAAATAAACCCAATTTTACCTCAACTTAGAGTGGATGTTAACTAGGAGTAAAAGTCAAGACATCTTAGTTTATCAAACACAGCAATGATTTCAATGAACACAACACAATAGAGGAACATTATATAGAACATGGCTGTCTCCTCCCATTTTGATTTACAATTTAGTCGTTACCTCAGCTCAAGAACAATTAAATAACTTGGTGTTGGCACAAAAATAGACAGGTAGGCTTATCGAATCAAACTGAAGATCCAGATATTATCCCATACACCTATGAACACCCAATTTTTGACAAAGAAGCTAAATTATACAATGGAAAAAAAGAAAGCATCTTCAACAAATGGTGCTGGCATAACTGGATGCTGACATGTAGAAGACTGCAGATAGGTCCATATCTATCACCATGCACAAAACGTAAGTCCAAATGGTTCAAAGATCTCAACATAAATCCAGCCACACTGAACCTCTTAAAAGAGAAAGTGGGAGGTACCCTGAACAAATTGGTACAGGAGATCACTTCATGAACATAACTCTAGTAGCACAGACACCGAGATCAACAATTAATAAATGGGACCTCCTGAAACAAAGAAGCTTCAGTAAGGCAAAGGATACAGTCAACAAGACAAAACGGCAGCCCACAGAATGGGAAAAGATGTTCACCAACCCGACATTTGACAGAGGGCTGATTTCCAAAATATACAAAGAACTCAAGAAGCTAGTCACCAAAATGCCAAATAATCCAAATAAAAAGTGGGGTACAGAACTAAATAGAGAATTCTCAATAGAGGAATCTAAAATGACTGAAAGACACTTAAGAAAGTGTTCAACATCCTTAACCATCAGGGAAATGCAAATCAAAAAACTCTGAGATACAATCTTATACATGTTAGAATGGCTAAAATAAAAACACAAATGAAAGTTTATGCTGGAGAGGATATGGAGAAAGGGGAACACTCCTCCACTGCTTGTGAGAGTGCTAACTCGTACAGTCACTTTGGAAATAAGTATGGTGGTTTCTCAGGAAAATGGGAATCAGTCTACCATAAGATTCAGCAATTACACTCTTAGGCATATAGCCAAAGGATGCACATACAACAAGGACATTTGTTCAGTTATGTTCATAGCAACATTATTTGTAATAGCCAGAACTTGGAAGCAACTTAGATGCCCCTCAACTGAAGAATGGATAAAGAAAATGTAGTACATTTACACAAAGGAGTATTGATCTGCAGTAAAAAAAATTAATGGAATCCTAAAATTCGCAGGCAAATGGATGGAAGAAACCATCCTGAGTGAGGTAACCCAGTCACAAAAAGACAAACATGGTATGTACACACTCATATATATATGGATATTAGACATAGAGCAAAGGATTAGCAGCCTACAATTCATACCTTCAGAGAAGCTAGGAAACATGGAGGACCCTAAGAGACACATCATGGTCCTCCAGAGAAGGGGAAAGGGACAAGAACTCCTGAGCAAATTGGGAGCACGTGATGGGGGGGGGGGAGATAGGAAAAGGAGAAGGGGAGAAGAGGAGGCAGGAGAACAAGGGGGATCAGGAAGACTGAGTCAGGGGAGGAATAGAGGAGAGCAAGAAAAGAGATACCTAATAGAGGGAGCCAGTGTAGGTTTAAAGAGAAATCTGGCACTAGGGAAATGTTCAGAGATCCACAAAGATGACCTCAACTAAGAATCTAGGCAGTAAAGAAAAGTCTGCCTTTGATGCCCTTCCTCTATAATGAGATTGATGACTGCCTTAATTGCCATTCTAGAGCCTTCATCCAGTGGCTGATGGAAGCAGAAGCAGACACCCACAGCTAAGCACTGAGCCGTACTCATGGAATCCAGTCGTAGAGAGGGAGGAGGGATGAACATAGAAGTCAAGGCCATACTGGAGAAACCAACAGAAACAGCTGACCTGACCTAGTGAGAGCACACAGACCCCAGTTGTAAAGCTGGGGAACCAACATTGGACCGGACCAAGGCCTCTGAATGTGAGTGTCAGCTACGAGTCCTGGAAAATCTATGGTACCTCTGACAGTGGAACCAGTACTTATCCCTAGTGTACAATGGACTTTGGGAGCCCATTCCCTATGGAGGGATATTATTTCAGCCCAGATACATGGAGGAGGGTCAAGGCCCTCCCTCAAATGATGTGACAGACTTTAAGATCCTATCCTTGGAGAGTGATTGGGATGTGGGTTGGGTGGGGTCTGTGGAGAACATGGAAAGAGGGAACAGGGGGATTTATATGTAAAATATGATTGTTTCTAAGGAAAAAAGGAATAAAATAAAAAAGAACAATTAAATGGTAGAGAGGCTACCTTAAATGCCCTTCCCCTATAATGAGATTCATGACTACCTTATATGTCATCCTAGAGCCTTCATCAAGTAGCTGATGGAAGCAGAAGCAGAGATCCACAGCTAAGCATGGAGCTGAACTCCTGGAATCCAGTTGTAGAGAGGGAGGAGGGATGAGTAAAGGGGTCAAGACCAGGCTGGAGAAGCCCATAGAAACAGCTGACCTGACCAAACGTGAAGAAGAAATCCGTCTAAACCCCAGCATTTGCCTCCTGCTTTCTGACTGCACATGTGATACAACTGGATACCTCATTCCCATTGCCATTCATTCTCTGCCATGATGGACAGCTGCCAGACCATGAGCTGAAATAAACCCTTTTTTCCTTAAGTTGACCTTTGTTAGTATTTGGTCACAGTGATAAGGAAATCAATCAATACCTTAATTTCCCTATTGTCTGATCGTCTTTCGACCAGCATGTGGCAATCATATTCTGCAGAGTTTCCATTACTAAGTAAATGAAATTACTCTTGCCCACACACTGGCAAAATACTTGTTTTTGTGAAATATCTTGTAGATAGGGACCTACTGGAATGAGTCTGGCTAGAGGTCAGAGGTAAGGATGGGTGGACCCTGAGAAACATTAGACTTGCCTCACTTGGCACCTCTTTTGTGACTATAACTATGAGTTCCAAAGACAAAGTGGGATTGTCTTACCTCTGTCTAGGGCAGGGAGGGCAGTATCACAGGGGCTGGGCCTGGAAATGCCACCAAAGGTAGGGAATCAATAAGAACCTCAAAATTTAATACCCTCAGACTCATCAGAGTTCTCCCTCACATCCCATGCCTGGGTACATGATCCCACTCTTACAGTCAATGATCTCATGATTGCTATAGACACCATTTGAAGATGAGACTTAGAAACTAGTGTTGTTAATTCAGTCAGTTGTAAGGTCATGGTTTTTAGTAAGCTTGTCTTGGAGGAGAGATGATCTCAGTGTGCACTTGGAAGTGTTTACACTTCTGGGGCTTGGGTACAGTGTCTCCGAGCTCTTTCGTTTCTCACTTTGTGCAGCATCATTATATTTGTGGAGCTCACTGGTGACTCTCTGGTGTTGGATACACACTGACATGCTGAAGAATCCAGATCTCCCATGGAAGATGGTGGCAGCGGTGATAGGTGATAGGGACACTTGCTCAGGAGGTAACACTGCCTTTCCCCTGGACTCTTCATAACCAGGCCTCCCATAGAAAGGCACTACTCAATTCGAGGATAGATCTTCTCTCGGAAAATGCACCTGCAGACACATCCAGAGGTATGGACATCCAGACACATCTAATGGAGTGTTCCCTAGGTAACCCTGTAACTCTAAAAGTCGTCAGGTTGACGAGACCAACCATCACATTGGGAAAGAGGGAGAGCTGAGACACTTGGTCTGAGTCCCAGTTTCAAAGAAACTGAGTCATTCTGGTGAAAGCCTAAGAGCAGTCACACAAAGTTGTCCATAATATGCACAAACCTCCATTTTCCTGTGGGGTATGAAAGAGCGAGTACTTTGGTAGGCAATTTGGTTTTGCATTCTGCATTCACAAGGATCTGGTAGCAAGTTTCCACTTCCCTCACTCTTACTATCACATTGCAGTCTCATTTGTTTTTATTTTGGAGAAAACAACACTGTTTTATTTTTTTAGTGCCTTTAAAATTCTGGCCTAGGACAGCAATATTTTCCTAAGAAGATAATTTATTCAGAGTTAGCTTTTGCAGAATAAAAAAATAGGCAATTTAAAAAGATAGATATTACTTCTTCCAAAGAAATTACAAACAGACAAAGATGTGAGTTACACACACACACACACACACACACACACATACACACACACACACACACACACGTATATTTTTTAAAAGCAATTACCATCTGCCTGATAGGGAAGAATAACTCTGTTGGACTGGAAGTTTAGTGTGCAGCTTTATAATTAGGCTGTCTCTGAGCAGAGCATATCCTTATTGGAATTCATGAAAAATGTCTGTTAATATTTCCCTTTTATTTTCAAATTTATTATATAAAAGGCATTTTGGTTCTGACTGGGATTTTTGGAATTTAGAAGTTCCTGTAACTTAGAGAATTTAAGAGGATATTCATGGTTTTCTAAGGGGCTTTGAGAAGGGGACTTGTTCAAGATGAGAAAATTCATTTTTTGAAAGTGGTGTGTGTGTGTGTGTGTGTGTGTGTGTATGAGCATGAACTATGACATGAATGAGGAGGTCAGAGAACAACTTGCAGGAATTGGTTCTATCCTTCCACTCTGTGTGTCCTGGGGTTTCCCATTTAGATCATCAGGCTTGGTGGCAAGCACCTTTACCCACTGAGCCCTCTTGCTGGCCCAATGTGATGGCTATTCTTAGATGTCTGCTCAACTATATCTGGAAGCCTCTGGGAATACCTGTGAGGGATTTTTAAAATTAAGCCATCTTTAATGGGAAGACCCACTTCTGATCCGGAGCTTTGAGGTGGGAAGATCCGCCTTTAATCTGGGCCACATCTACCGTCGGCCTATATAGCAGATGTGGAAGGAGGAAGCTAGCTCTCTCTGACCACTTGCTCTCTCTCTCACTAGCAAGTCCATTCCTTTAGTCTGATTATAGCCGACTTCTCTGGGACTCCCTTACCCTGAAGATCAGCCGAGACATCCAGCCTTGTGGACTGATCAAGTACTGGTTTTTTGGACCTTCCTTTGGTGGACAGCCATTGTTGAACTAGCTGGAATAGCCTGAAAGTCATTCTAATAAATTTCTCCTGTCCCCTGCTCTTCCCTCTCTCTAGATTGGCATCATAAATTCTATTCCTCTAGAGAACCCTGACTAATGCACCCTGAAGGGTCTTTCTGGTCAATCTACTTCGCTCACAACCAGTGTGCAAGCTGAAATATTTCTGTTTATTCCTAGCACCAGGCTCACTTTCAGGCTGAAAAGCAGATGGAATCAAACCCACATTCCTGTCCTCTGGTCCCCACTATCACCCTCTCATGAACCTCCACCAGGCACTCAGTTCTTCCTGACTCCTACCCCACTTGCCTCCCTCAGGGGATATCTGGAAAGAAGAGGCAGGGAGACTATAAGACTCAGATGTTGGGAGCATAGCTGAGAAACTGCCTTCTGGGCGTGACAGGACTGCTGCACTCATGAAAACACAATGGCTGAGGTTATGTGTACAAGACCTGCATAGGAGCAAGCCAGTCTAGATCCCAGCATGGGGCGGGAGAGGTTCACAAAACCCCACCCACAGCTGAGGAATGCTTGTTAATTGGATGGCTGCTCAGAGAGGGGACTATAAGTCTTCCTCACTGGTGTGGACCCTCTGGTTGACTATGTCCTGGTGGATGGCCCCACTGTTAGTATTCAGGCATCCATACTGGCCTGCTCTTGGGGTTCTGACAGGATACACCCTCAGCTGCAGACACAGAGTGCCTATTCACTATGTTCCCTTTCAAAAGGCCCGGCCCACCTCCCATCTCTCTCTCTTCCTCCTCTCTTTTCTCTCTCCCCCCTTTCCTCTCTCCACCTGCTCCCATCCCCAGAGGCCAGTCTAACCCCTCCCCTTTCTCCTTTTTATGATCCCTTTCCCTAATAAAAACCCCTCTGCTTGAATCCTGTCTCATGGCATCTTTCTCTCACCAGCTGCTTTTCTTAAATTACAACACCTATGCTCATGCAAACATGGGCAACACTAATTTGGTTATTAAGAAAAAGAAAAGAAAAGCACATGAAGTCGTGAGGGGTATATGATGGGAATCAGTTGAAGGGTATGAATATGATCAAGACACATTGTATATGTGTATAAAATTCTCAACAAATAAGAAAGAATAGTTAAAAATGGACCCCTCCATCTTTCCCACAATGGCCTCATCTCACTTCTTAACGGCTTCTTAGGAGTGACAATTATTCAGATAATTCAACAGTTATAAGAAATATGGGAACCAGCTCAATTTAGCAAAATTTACACAAAATTTTTAGAATCAGGAATCCTTTCAGATTAAAGAATGGACTCCACACAGAGAAGTTCTATTGATAGCCCGAGAGAAGGAAATGATGTGTAGAAACAATGCGATTGGTTACAATGGGCACTTTCCTTTGGTAAACATGGTCTGGCTAGTAGCTGGTTTGTGATTGGTTAAAATGCAACAGCTGTGATTGGCTGAGATCAGTAGCTTAGTTACAGGAAGGCACACTTGGGCAGCACCATCTTGTTTACTGTAGGTTGCTGTTAGCTATGTATAGAAGCTGCTTTTGGCAAAACACATCACAGAACGCTGTGGCAATTTGCTTTAGCTCAACACAACTTTGTCTGAACTCATGGGTTTGGGTGAGGGGAAGGCTGTGTCTACTCTTCCATATCCCCATGTCCGAGGTGTAGAATGAATGAACTGTGTCTCCCCTAAAATTACTTTTTACATATTTCTTTTGCTTTCATTGTATGAGTGTTTTGCCTACATGTATGAATGTGTACTCAGAGTGTGTATGGTGAGATCAG